CGATATGGGTTTTTAAGTACCACCTGGTGAGCTACAGTAAACCTGTAAAACTCTGCAGGCCTCGAAAACTTTGAATTTGCTTCCACTTTGATTTCCTTGTTCCTCTCGATCTTACTCTTGCCTCGTTCTCGCTGTCTCCCTGTATCTCTGTATGTCGCGGTCTCGGGATTTTTGCTCTCTTTCTCGCAATCTTAGTCATTCAGTCACTCACATCTCTCTCGCTCTCTCTCTCTCTCTCTCTCTCTCTCTCTCTCTCTCCCAGCTATCGCTCTCTCTCTCTCGCTCTCTCGCTCCGTCTCTATTGTTTCTAATTAGCATTTCCTAGATCCTGGGGGTTTATTTGACAAAACATAGTATATTTTTATTAACTTTTTCATAGATACTCCTTCACCTTCAAAATGGTCTAACCAGTAGCAGCCAGCAGTCCCGGGGGGTGGTAGTTATTCAGCCATTCCCGAGGCATAGGGCCAGATGGCCCAATGACAATGAGTGGTCTCCCTCACTCTAATCCCTCCTCGATTTATGCATACTCTACCTCACAATGCCCCCCGCCCTGTGCACCCGGCCACATGTGTTCCACCGCCCTGAACACCCAACCATAGCTTTCTCTCGCTCTCCCTCTCTCTCTCTCTCACTCTCTCTCTCTCCCTCGCTCTGTCTCACTCTTTCTAGCTTCAAACCACCGGCCATCCCCTGAGGGCTTGCCCGGACAGTGACTCTTTACGCTCTTCGACTCTGGCTTTTCAGTTTCTGATTTTATTGGCAGCCATCTCGCCACTCGGCTCTGCCGGGTAGTTCACGGCTTGTTGTCGCCTGGCTCGATTGAGCCTGCAGGATTTTCCTGGGCTTTTGTACGATTTTTGGTGGTTTTGAACGTTCGGAGGTGTAGAACGGAACCTTTAGCGTCTGGAAACTTGTATTTTTATATTATAGCCGCCCGGTTTCTACAGAATTTTTGTTAGAAATCGGGAGCTAATTACATCCCAACAGCGACATACCGAAAGCTAAAATCCGACAACGAAAATCCCGACACGTGCCGGACGCGTTTTTCAATCACAATGACGGTGAGACCTTTTTTTTGCCCGTCGCGATTTTCGTTGTCGAGATTTTGAAAGCAATTCTGGTCGTCGGCATTTTGGCCGTCGGAATGTTAGCGGTCGGGATTAGAACTCGCGAATTTGGACTTCGGGATTTTAGCCTGTCGGGATCATCACCACGGCGCTTTGGCTGTGGTATTTCGCACGTTTATCGCTGACTTTCTCTTTAACCTGGCCCGGTTGACCACTACGAACATCGTTCGGGTTGTCAGCTGTCTCTGCCATCTTCACCCCCAAGGGGTCAGCCGGAACACTCATCCTACCCATTACCCCGCTCTATTCCCACCCCCATTGGCCTGCCCTGAAAAATGTAAATATTTTCTAAAAACCTCCTTGAGCCCCATTGGTTCAGAGTTGCCACTCGATTATCAACGTTCTTTTCCTAGAAAAATAGCTTGACAAAATCTTTTTAAGCAGAATTCGATCCCATTTAAATTTTTGGCAAAAAAGAACCTGAAAATTTGCATTAAATATTCGAGGCAGGATAAATATTTTCTATAGCTCCTCGGTCGCCTTGGGTTCAGATTTACCACTCGATTATCAATGTCCTTTTGCGGAAAAATAGGTTCGGGCAAACCCACAAACCATCTTGTTGTGTTCATGGGGTTTTATGAAGTGTTTGTTTATTTTTGTGGTGAGTGGGGTAGACGAACTGACCTGGGCTTTGAAGTGCCGGGCCAAATCTACAGTTCTGAAGGTGGATTTTATAGAAGAATTTTGTTAGATTTAGATTAGTATGTTAAAAAATTGCTGAATGTTTGAAAAATTGATCTTTAATAGTGTTGGATTCTCTTCGGTTTCTTGAAGAAATCCGAATATTCTTCTAGTGTTGCGACTTTTTGGTTTTTCAATTACATTAATTTTGGATTTTTGATCAAGTCTCTGCTTAATTTTAAGGAAGGTTTTAAAAGCAAATTTCGATTTTGGAAGTGATCTTCTAGAAAAATTTTTGCCTTTAGATTTCACGTTTTTATTTTGTTTGTTTTGTGAAAAAATTGGAATTTTACAAAGTTATTTGTTTGAAAATCAGTAATCAAAATTAAGATGAGAGAAGTTTCAGGTCTCTGAAAATAACTGCAGTAGTACCTAAAAAACTCCAAAACTTTAAATATTCTAAAAAACAGCTACGTTTTCTGAGATTTAAACCTGTTTCGGATATCTTTACACGTATAGAGCATCCGAATTGAAGCAGATGCCCTTAAAAACCCAATATCGGTCTGGTACCGCTATTTATCCTATTCCTCCCCCACCACCTGATGCACCCAAGTTTATCACCATTTGTTTTGTGTTTCCCCGCCCCCATCAGCCCCAGTCAGCTGTTCGGGGACCCCCCTATTTTGGCATAATCTGTATTTGGCCCCGAGTGATAATCGAATCAGTAGCCGCAAATTATCGCGTTAAGCCCACCACGCTCGTTTTTTGCTATTTTCGGGCCTCGGATTCCAGATTTAATTGGGTGACTCAAAGGGGAGTGCGTGAAAATTCAATATCGGGCGGGAGGATTTTCAAATATTAAATTTTTTGGTGAATGGGAGCCGGATTTTTATTTCATAACGAGGTACATGCAAAATACACCCTAATACGTGAAAATACCATTAAAATACGATGTTAAACAATTTATTGTGTTTTTCCCTCGTCGCTAAAAGTTCTAAAATTTGCTTTTTCCGCCCAATGACATTCTTCTCGTTTTCGTCAAATTTCCTGTTTTTAAAAATTCAATTCGCTGTTAAATTCCAATTTAAATAGTTTAATTTTCCAGAAAATGTCAGCACTGACTCGATTCGTGTCCAACACTTTTACGGACCTCTCGCATAAACGTCAAAGCAAACGGCTAGTTCATGACGAGAGCATTAGCGTAAGTTTTTCTTATGAGAAAGAGAGAGAGAGAGAGAGAGAGAGAGAGAGAAATCGAATTAAATTATCACGATTTTTTAGAGCGATCTCAACAGCGCCGCCGCCGATATCAACCCAAACTTCAACTTTTTCGACCCTGCCGAACATTTCGGGGAGGAGACGTGGCAAGGGACATCGGCCAGCCAGCAGAAACCATTAGAGAAAAGGGAAGAAAAGAAGGAGGAGAAGAAAGCAAAAGATACGGTAGGTTTTCAATACAAAAATCGTCAAAACTGTCGTAACAAAGTTCACTACCAAATTCGGCCAAGAACGCTTCAAAAATAACTGCTAGCTTTCCCTAGTTTTCCTCAAAAATCTGTGCTAGTACGGTTTAAAACCTACAAATTTAAATTCCTAAATTTCCACTTTTAGACCCAAGTCCCGTTCCCGGTAACCGTCACCGAAGTCTCGTCAGGGCGCCGAGTACTGCCACTTAAAAATGTGGGTAGATCGGAATATTCAGTTTCATATACATTCTTAGATGGTAAAGAAGTTGACCCCCTTCAACAACAACTCCAAGGAAGTGAAGGATAAGAATTCCGCAGATGAGAAACCGGCAACAGATCGGTCAGACGAGGAGGCGAGGAAGAACGAGAAGAAGGGCATGTGGAAGTTAAAAGAGCAGGTAAAAACAAAGCTAAGATTAAACGCAACGTAATTACGTAAGATAACCTAACGTAAAAAGGTGGCGTAACGTAACGTCATAACGTGGTGTAGCGTTATAACATGACGTGGCGAAACGTAGCGTAATGTAGCGTAAAATAGCGTAATGTGGCGTAACCTACCCTAACGTAACGTGAATTGGCGCAACGTAATGTAGTGTAATGTGATACCAAAGAGGGCAAAAGTAAAAATAGATTTATACCAACAATTCCAGATTGAACGCCGCAAAAACGGAGACAAGCAGATGCTGATTGACCTCGACGATAACAGCTATTAATGGGTAGAGCGAGGTTCTCTCTCTCGCTCTCTCTCTCACTCTCTCTCTATCTCTCGCTTGCTCTCCCTCTGTCCCTCTCTGTTCAGCTCTCTTAAAAAGATTTTCCTTGATTCTTCTCCGATTTTCCAAATTCCACGCCAATCCTCCCCCCGAATTTGAATACGTGGTGCTATACACTTTACCGGAATCGACGTATTTTTGCGTATTTTCCTTTTTATCTATTTACTATGTTTTTATTCGCTTTAATTTTTGTATATTGTAATTACGGGCTAGTTAAACCACCATAAAAATCAGAAGTCGAGAAATTGTCAAAAATTGCCCGTCGTCATGGCTAGTCACAAGACTCAATTTTTGCGTACCGTGACCCTTTAAAACCCGATTTCGTAATTTATGCGCTTTTCTATGTATTTTTGGTATAATCCGTGTAATTCTTTGTAGATAAATTTATTGTGAAGCGTTTTTTCGGAGGAATATTTGCATATGGGCCACGGGGCATCAAGGTATAAGTAGAAATCTGGGTAATAGATGAGGTCATTGAAAGCTCAGAGGCAAAGGCTTGGGAAACCTGTAATTTGGCGTAATACGGAATTTGGGATCACATCAAAATTCGGGGTTGAATTAAGTAGTTTTTGGTATTAAAATTGAAGCGTAATTAGCATAATAAGGAAAAATCACGAAAATGGCACTGGAAAAAACGAATAATGGCACAGTTTTTCGGAAAAATCTTTGCAACGGATAGCTTGATCCATAATTAAGCTAGTTATTTTGGTTGTTATGGTAACTTAATAGTTCAAAAAGCGGAAGGAAATGGCGGTAATATGCAAATTTGGCAAATAAAGTTATCACAGCATATTTTAGACTTGTAAATTGGACAAAATCTCGGGAATTAAGCAGAAATTGGGGAAAAACGTACTTTCTGAAACTTCCAATCTCCTTTAAAAACAAAAGAAAGTGGGAAAACGTATGGAAATGACCAAAATTTGAGATTCAAGCATTCAAAAACGTACTGAGCATTACGACATGAAAAGCAATAAATTGCCTTAAATTCCGAAAAAAAATCGGTACCATTAATGCGTTGGTAACTCAGTTGGAACAATATTATGCAACTTCTCAAAGAGACTAGTATCTGGGGTTCCACGCCCTTCGATTTGCATATTTACAATCTCGCAGACACCGACGGTACGGACGGGTGGGCCGAAGAAGTTCACGCCTGCCGACACGATCACTTGGGTATGGGTGGGCTTATTCTCATGGAGGCCGTGATTCCATTTGTTCATCACCTCCGTGGACGGCCACAGGAAGTTCACTTGGCCGTTGTGGGTGTGGCCTAAAGATCGCAAATTACCGTGGATCTCTCTCATTCTCTCCCACTCTCTCTCTCTTTTTCTCTGTCGCTCTCTCTTTCTATCATTCTCTCTCTTTCTCTCGCTCACTCTCTGTCTCTCTCTCGCTCTTACCTGACATGATCAAATCGATGTTCCCATTGACTTTCTGGTCCTGCAACACCTTCCAGGCGGCATTTGGCTGATGAGCGAGCAAAACGACGAGATCATTCAGTTGGCATCCTTTCAGGGCCTTTACTGGATCCATGTGGTGCCCGGGCATGCTGAAAAATACAGAAAATATTTATTTGCGCTTTGAACGGTTTGGCAGTTCGAGGAATCTTGGCTAGCTTGCCCCATGAATCCATGCTGGTTTGTCTCTCCCCTTCAAACTCCTTAGGAATCGCTGCTGGCACGTCTCTAGCCCATCGCGATGAAGCCCTGCTAACTGCTCTAGCTCTTCAAGTTCTTCAAGGTACCTCTGCTAGCCGACCTATTCACTCAATTTTCGCAAAGTATCGCTGATACAATTCCTCAGACAATTTCTGCTAGCTCGCCTTTTCCCTCAAACTGGTCAATGGTCTCAGCTAGTTTGCCCTTGATCATATTCCGCAAGGTTCTCTGTCAACCCGTAGACTGAAGCCATTTCTCAAAGGATATCTGCCGGTTCGCCCTTCTATTCAGCTTCCACAAAGAATCAGAGCTAGCCTGCCCCGCCCTAAAATCCCCAAAGGATCTCCTATAGGGTATTTATGATCGTTGTGTTTTAAGGAAGCGGGGAAGCCGATAAAACATACTCCATGCTGAGCGTCACCAAATCATCCATCCCGGCCATGCACACCATATCCCCTTCCGTCGTCCTGAAGCGCTTGTTCTCGTTGTGGAGTACGGTAATGTTGCAATTCTCCAAGAATTCGAACCACTCGTCGACATTTCCGTGGAAGTATTCGTGGTTTCCTAAATTGTAGATAAGTCTTCACTTATTTTGCATTTTATCCAGTACATATTTTATTACTACTTTATATTTCTTTAAGGTTGCCATTACTTGCCTGTTGCGAAGTAAACTCCGTATTTGCTCTTCAACCGGCAAATCGGTTCCGCGGCACCACCTAGTGACGATACAAAACCATCGGCCAGATCGCCGCTTATGGCAATGATATCTAAAAATTATTTAAACATGCGAAACAATAAGATAGCTATTTACCTGGCTCCAAATTGTTCGTCCACTCGACAATATTGACGATTCGGTTCTTGCCAACACTTGGGCCAATATGGATGTCGCTCAACAGGGCGATATTTAGCGTGGCACCCGATCGCAGTTTCTGAAAAAAAACACGTCATGATTAGTGTTGGTTTTTAGTCCAAAGTCCACGGACTTTTTCGGACTAAAAAGTCCGCGGACTAAAAAGTCCACGGACTTTTTCGGACTAAAAAAGTCCGCGGACTTTTCGGACTAAAAAGTCCGCGGACTAAAAAGTCCACGGACTTTTTCGGACTAAAAAAGTCCGCGGACTAAAAGTCCACGGACTTTTCGGACTGAAAAGTCCGCGGACTAAAAAGTCCACGGACTTTTTCGGACTAAAAAGTCCGCGGACTAAAAAGTCCACGGACTTTTTCGGACTAAAAAGTCCGCGGACTAAAAAGTCCACGGACTTTTTCGGACTAAAAAGTCCGCGGACTTTTTCGGACTAAAAAGTCCGCGGACTAAAAAGTCCACGGACTTTTTCGGACTAAAAAGTCCGCGGACTAAAAAGTCCACGGACTTTTTCGGACTGAAAAGTCCGCGGACTAAAAAGTCCACGGACTTTTTCGGACTAAAAGTCCGCGGACTAAAAAGTCCACGGACTTTTTGGATTGCAAAAGTCCGCGGACTTTTTAGTCGTGGAACCTCGGGGGTTTTGAATTAAAAGTCTGCGCCAGCATTTCCGCTTCCCATTCGTTTATGACTCGACGAAAAAAACCCGCAAACCATTTTTAATTGGCATGTGGTAACCATCCATCGCTCTTATTGTTAGACGCGGGCGGCAGAATAGGCCATAATTGTGCCGTTAGTTTGTCTGTGTTTTGGTCTTGGTTCGGTTTGTTTGCCGAGAAAGGCTTTATCAGAAGTGAAACGTAACAACGAATGAGACTCTACACAACAAGAACAACAATATCGGCCTTAGGAAACTTTCAATCTAACAAAAACCAACAAAAAGGGGCTCTGAGTGAGCAGATTTAGGGCTTTTTCCTGGGTTGCGACCGGGTCGGGTGGAGAGCATTGCTCTTCAAGTGTCGGCAGTCATATCTGAAAGGAGGTTTTGAAGATGATCAGATATTACCTCGTTATCCTCGAAAAAAAACTCTTCCGGTGGGTGAGATTTTAGGGCTTCTTCTTGCGCAATTTCCTCTTTGTAAAGCAGATAGTCTTCATCCTCTTCCGCAAGCTCCTTCAAGGCCGGCTCACCATTGACCATCTGAACGGAAAAGTTTCGGATACCAGAAGGGGATACTACCTGGTCGGTTAGCGTCTGGACCAGAATTCGATTCTCGGCATCAAGTAGGGCAAGTTCGGGATAGGGATCCGATGCTGCGGCCGCCCTAGAAAGGACATTGGCTTCAAGCACCGGAACGTACCAAAGTTTTGCAGCCCTCTCGGCGGCCAGGTGATGAGATTTGCGAATCGTCTTGATGTTATGACGGATTCTCGACAAAAGATCTTCGATTTTCGGATCGTCGAGCCCGGCGAGAACGACCAGTTGTAGCAGGTGGGCAATGCAGTGAACCCAAGTCTCGTCACTAGAAGAAAAGGTATAGCGAAATGTCTGGGGTTACCTTAATCCCGCCTTCGTAGCGAGTCGCCTCGATGCACACTTTTCATTCGCGGCACCATCGGTGGTGAAGCCAACCAATTTCTCAAATGGAATTTGGAAATCTCGCAGATCCTCCAGGACTATCTAAATATACTATTTTAGACCGCCAATCGCGGAGTAAACTTGCCTCGGAAAGGAATGTGGCATCTTGTTTCTTGTTAGTCACGTCTTCAATTGATAACAGGGCATTTTGTCGCGTCATCTGTGCGTCAGACCAGTGAATGTATGTGCTAAAATGGGGAAGCTTAATAAAATGATTCAATTTTACCAATGTAGGCTGACAGTATTTGCCTTCGACGACCAGGAGTCAAAACTTAGCCCGATATTTACCGCATCCTTCAGCCTCTCGCACAACAGATTCTAAATTACAATTAGGAACATCGTAGATCCGCCAACCTTTAGTTCCCCGTACCGCCTGTCGAGGATTGGTCCCGACAATGCATGCCGCGTCGGTCCTTTGGTTCGCCCACCACTCACTGCCAATGTATATTCCCTAAACCAAGGATCAAGCTTAGACGCAACACCTACTTCCAATCGTGATTCTCCACAATGTTGAACGACAGATTAGCTGACAGTATCAGGTTCAGGCATTTATCGTCAATCTCCTGCTAAACATCCTTTCCATGAATCAATCCTTAAAATTATACCGGTCTTTTCTGCAGGAGCTGCCGCGGGCTAGCCTTGTCGCTGACGGGCCTTTTTGGGCTAGGGGCCTATGTATATAGCTTGATAGTCGACCAGAAAAATATTACCTCTGGATTATCACCGTCCAGATGTTTCTTCAGATGGCGGCCGATTGCCGACAGCCCGCCTTTGGTGATGAACATCGCCCCACAGAAGTTGCATTTTGAGGAATCTCCGACCGTAACAATGTGCTGCCGAATCGTCGTCGCACTGCCAAAGCATTCATTAGTATGACATAAACACTGACCTGTAATTCTCTCCCTTGTTAGACGCGGATCATCTGCCGACCCTCCCATTTTACCAAGTTCTACCTGAAAAATATAACGATTACTTGGCCGCAAATTTAAACCGTGTAAGAGAAAACGACAAGGACAATTGTATATTTCGATGTAGATGAGATGGCGTGCCAATTAAAAAAATGGTTTGCGGGTTTTTTCGTCGAGCCATAAACGAATGGGAAGCGGAAATGCTGGCGCAGACTTTTTAATTCAAAACCCCCGAGGTTCCACGACTAAAAAGTCCGCGGACTTTTGCAATCCAAAAAGTCCGTGGACTTTTTAGTCCGCGGACTTTTCAGTCCGAAAAAGTCCGTGGACTTTTTAGTCCGCGGACTTTTTAGTCCGAAAAAGTCCGTGGACTTTTTAGTCCGCGGACTTTTGCAATCCAAAAAGTCCGTGGACTTTTTAGTCCGCGGACTTTTCAGTCCGAAAAAGTCCGTGGACTTTTTAGTCCGCGGACTTTTTAGTCCGAAAAAAGTCCGTGGACTTTTTAGTCCGCGGACTTTTTAGTCCGAAAAAGTCCGTGGACTTTTTTAGTCCGCGGACTTTTCAGTCCGAAAAAGTCCGTGGACTTTTTAGTCCGCGGACTTTTTAGTCCGAAAAAGTCCGTGGACTTTTTAGTCCGCGGACTTTTTAGTCCGAAAAAGTCCGCGGACTTTTTAGTCCGCGGACTTTTTAGTCCGAAAAAGTCCGTGGACTTTTTAGTCCGCGGACTTTTTAGTCCGAAAAAGTCCGTGGACTTTTTAGTCCGCGGACTTTTTTAGTCCGAAAAAGTCCGTGGACTTTTTAGTCCGCGGACTTTTTAGTCCGAAAAAGTCCGTGGACTTTGGACTAAAAACCAACACTAGTCATGATAGTAACAGGAAAGTAGATTTTTGATGAAAACTTTTGCCTGTCCTTGTCCCTTTAAAATGTACTATACTGACCATCGTCTCCATGTGCTCATTGACGATAGTAGGAGGCGTTAGGGTACGATAGAGTCCATATCCAACAAACAGCAAGCTCACTCCAATCGACAAGAGGACTTCAAAAAGGCGGTATTGTGCAACGAAGCTAAAAAGAATTATTGATGCATATATGAAAATTATGAATAATATATAAAATATATAAGTATACCAGCCGATTACAGCCGCTTCGCGACTGTAATCGACTGGCCTTCGGGCTACCCTCCATGTTCTACACCACCACATTACATCTCAATCTTCGTCAATGGCCAAGCTGACCGCTTCAGATACCTTCTCTAGCCAAACCCATGTAAAAACTTAGATACCTAAACTACTTTAATAACTTCCTGATGGCTATAGAGACTTCCCCATAGCCGAACTCCCCTTAAAAAACTACTTCGATACCTCCCGGATGGCTTTAGATACCTCCCCTAGCCGAAATCCCCTTCAAAAACTACCTAAATACCTTCCTGATGGCTTCAGGTACCCCCCATGGCTGAAATCCCCTTCAAAAACTACCAAAATATCTCCCGGATGGCTTTAGATACCTCCCCTAGCCGAAATCCCCTTCAAAAACTACCTAAATACCTTCCTGATGACTTCAGATACCCCCCATAGCCGAAATTCCCTTCAAAAACTACCTAAATACCTTCCCGATGGCTTCAGATACCCCCCATGGCTGAAATCCCCTTCAAAAACTACCTAAATACCTTCCCGATGGCTTAAGATACCTCCCCTAGCCGAAATCCTTTTAAAAAACGAAAATAACGATCGACCGGATGGAATGAGAGAGAAAAAGAAATGAAATCCCCCGTGAAAATTTTCATCCACGAAACGCGCGCGACCTGGCTCACTATGTCCAAAATCGCCCCAACCTCCGTCCCCCACCCCTTTTACTAAGGAAAAAACTTTCAAAGTTAATTTTAATAATTTAAACTAAAAGTTTTTCATAATTTTTTTATCAGTTTGGGGGTTTCTGACCACGCTCTATCCGAATCCGAAGAGACCTAAGCTCTAGCTCCTTTCCCCTTCGAGTTGAATTCGGCTTCAGACACACACACAGACGTCTTTACTTTTTTATTATAGTTGATAGTATAAGTATATGTAACATATAAGAAAACTGAAAAAAACACATTAAAATCACCTACGTGCTCAATTTGTAGAGTGACCCGTTCCCACGACATTTCCGGACGGCCCACATGATGTAGAAGATGAGATCGAGTATGAGAAGAATGAGCACCATGTGCATCCACACGGCAAAGGCCAATAGGGTGATGTACGCCCATCCGGAGACTTGGATTGGGAGACGGATCTATTAGAAAATGTAAATTTTTTCATCTTCCTCAAAAATTACTGCTAGTATGCCTATTCTGGCTAAGTTTTCCTAAATGGTGTTTGCTAGCTACCCAAATTACATTATGCCAGTTAGACTTCCGAAAGAAATTTTGCTAGGCTAACCTTCTGGATCCTCTCAATTTCTCTATGCGCCTTTGCTAGCCTGCCTGCTAAGCATCCATCTTCCTACATCCAGTTGTTCCTGAAAGATCTCTGCTAGCTTGCCTACGCCCAAAAGATCGAGCAGCCGATTCTACGAGTTTCTCTGCTAGCTTGCCCTTTTTTGGGTAAATTTTTATTAGCCACAAATTCCTATGACTACAACTTACATCATAAAATATCGCCGAAAAGTGCACCAACACGAGGAACGTGACCAGAATTCCACTAAAAAAGCTGTAACTAGTACAAAGTCGTAACTTACCGGATTATGGACCCAAAGCCCACTTTAAACTTCCGGTCGCCTCGCATTGGGATACTAAAAATTTAATATCTTTTTAGTTATTGAAAATAAATGTTTAACAGCTATTTAAGGTATAAAACTTACGGGAAAGCTTGTGTAAATCTGATATACATGTGGACCGATGCGATAAACATGGCAATTTCGAGGTTGACGATGGCGAAGGCTTTCAAAAAAAGCGTGACGATCCCAGTATTCCAGATCTTTGCCTACCTAAACGAATCGATAGCGTCTATTAGCATGTTTTAAATTAATTGAAGTAAATGGTTTTTGTTTAATAAAAAAAATTTGTCCGACTTACAGTAAGCAACGTGAAGCCGAACAGCATTTCCGCTAACAGCACGAGCACCAAGAAAATGTGCACCCAGATGGGGATCTTCTTGACATTACTGAAAATTGATCATTTGAAAGCGACATGGAAGTGGAAGATCTTCATACATAAACGTTGTAGTTTTTAAATGCAATAAAAATTATATTTAAAAATTTATAATTTTTGTGTAATTCTTTAGTTTTTTACTCCCTGCTGGAATAAGAAAACAAGGACATTTAAAGTTTAATGCCAAGCAAAATGTAAAGGAAAACCCATCGAACAACAAATATGAAAAATCATTAAACGGGGCAACGAAAAATTGTCGGCGTAGGTAAATTTGTTTATCTAAAAACTTACTCAACAGCCTTCCGCTTCCACGTCATTTTTCAGAGATCGTTGAGCCGGGAAGAGGACGGTATTTTGGAACTATTTTGGCAGACGGGGGAGGGGGAACTCCGTGTGACAGACAGACCGCAGATAGTCCGAATGAAGTAGGGGGGAGGGGGGTGTGTTTTTCGAGCAGGAGTCACGCCTGGGTTCGGCAGGCAGGTCCTCCTCTTTTTGAAGGGTTATTTCCAGTCCTCCGGGTTCTGTGTAGAGGCCTCTCTCACTCTTTCTATCTCTCGCTGCCTATACCGTAGCAACAACAACACGCCAGCCTCGCAGGCTTGTCCGGTCAACAATGGGCAGACCTGGCCTGAAAGTGACGAAATGGAACCAGAAAAACGGCTGGAGCATGGCCAAGGAGGACGACCGGTTTTGAAGGGTTTTGTGAAGCTTGTGGATTTTGTTAAAATTAGGAGATTTCGAGGATCTAACGGTATGGTTAAGCCTGGGAAATTTAGACTTGCTCGAACAATTTTATAAACGGTGGCGTCTAGCGACTTTCAAAACCAATAGAAAAATTGTTACCAAGATTCGCAGAAGTTGCTGCAGAAAATAAAGAGCAGAAATGAGGCAAAATCGTACTTTCCGGGTTTTTTGTAGGTTTTAGGCAAAAAGCGTTACAAAATTGGTATTTTTCTATTTATGAGCAGGTTCTGCTTCTAAAGGCAATAAAACGTAAAATTCTGAATTCTGGACCTGCTCTAACACCGTTTTTCTTTTGCTTTTCTATACCTTGAAAATCTAGCAAGTTAATAGAACTTCATTTCAACGTTTCAGCTTTTAAATCCGGGTTCAAAACATCAGACGGAATATCTGGTTGTGAAAAAGCTCAAAAGTGCAATGAGCTCGTAAAAATGTGATATTTTGGCCGAGGGCTGGAGCCCAGCCAGGCGTCCGTGAAGCCCTGGAAGCCATAATCGGCCACAGGTGAGGGGGAGCCCCGAAAAAGGTGTGTATTTGTCGGTTTGTGTGTCTGTCTTTATGCCCATACGTAAACATGCCCTTCCCCCTAGCCACCAAGCATTCCCAAAAATGGTTTCCGGTCCTACCCGCCCCAAACAACAACACCCGTAAAAAAATGCCATGACGCCTCCAAGCTTTTTTGGAATGCCTAGTGGAAACTATTTTGTTTTCGGTCGCTAAGAAGCTGATGTTGGCTAAAATAATTATTGAAACTCAGACCACAACACCGTAACGTAGAAAGGAGCGTAGAACATTGAAAATTGAGCAAGTACCAATTTTAATCACTTTTGAGGCGCATTTATGAAAACTATTGAGAGCAAGCAACCTCACTTTTTCATGGTTTTCTGGAAGTCGAAGCCATGCCCGTTTGTGGGTCGTAAAAAACGGGATTTAGGGCTATCTATCTACTGACGCTAACACAGTTGTTGAATTGACTATGACACAGCTAAAATCCTTGAAAAATTGAGAATTGTGCACGTTAGAAACATTTTTATGAACTTTTCAGCAATCGTGCTCACGATTCCTCATCTAATTTTCGTGATACTGATACCTTCTAGCTTTTTTATAGATAAGTAATAGTTACTTACGCTTTTTTCGAACCAAAACCACCATAAAAATTTGCCAAAATAATTAGAACTTGGTGTGACCCCGCCAAAATAAATAGTTTATTCCGGGACTAACTGAGGATGGATCCACTTGATAATGCACGGAAGACGATTCTTTTCGTAACTTATTAACTAAAAAAATGATACAAAAAAATGTTGAGGATAAGGCTTCTTTTGAAAATCCCGATTTTTAATGGTTTCGCAAAATCCAACCATCGAAAGTACCACAAAATAATGATTTCTCTCTTTTAGCAACTTATTTTGTTGATTTTCGGCACCAAAAGCCAAAAGCTTTGCTTCGCCTTTTCAACAAAACGATCCCTACGCGTGGGGGATTGTTGTCCTGGTGCATGTTTATTTTCTCTCCGTTTCCATTCGCGCTGCATTCCGTATTTTTCGCGCACTCACTCACCCAGCCCCCACGTGCGCGCGTTCATTCAAAAAGTGCAACGGCAATTTACAGGGCAGGAATGTAGGGCTATACACGGCTGAATCACCAAGAAGGTTTGGTTTGATTACAAGAAGGGTTGGGGTACTTTTTGGCGCCTAATGACGGCGCGGATTGGGTCGGAACAATGCGGAAAAATTTACTTTACCTTATTTTTCTATCTGTCTGTTTTTGTGTCTTGATTTTTGCACCAAGACACATTCTAAATGTAGACATTTGAAAATCCAAAAACGTAGGTTTATATCCGAATCAAGCTGGTATCAGTCAGAAATTAAATTTTCAAAATTTTTGCTGATAAAATGCGTAAGTAGCGTAAATATCTTTAAAATGTATGATCCAAATTATTTCACTAAACGCCATTATACACTCAAATTTTTCTCCGTCTCCAGACTTTTATCGTCTCGGCGAATTGGCGGAAGCGGTGAATTGGCCCTAGTGATCGTGGAGGCGAGATTCTGAAAAAAATAGTAATAAAATTCGAATTCCTATTATAAATTTTTGAAAAACACCAGCAGGATCCAGTATGTTCCAAATCGGTCTTAAGTCAAAAACTTCATTTGCCCCAGGTACGACATCTGTCCCTCGCCTGGCGCGCCAATTTTTGCCCCATTTTCCGGCAATTTCCCGGCACCATGCTCCGTAATGTAATTCTCCGGGTCATGAAAAATGCACAACAAAGATCCCCGTAACCACGATGTTTTTTGTGGAAAATTTAATTTTCTAAAAATGGTCGGGAAGGGCGATTGACTTACGTCTTTTTGGTAAATTTTGGAAGCTGTTTGAGCTGCGATGGCTTTTCTTGTTTTTGAGAGGAAGAAGAGGAGCAAGACGCATCTGAAATTAGGTACCAGTAATGAGATATTATTCACTTACCCATCCAGCGAATGGCACATTTGCCACGAAAAAGTGATCGTGAAGAAGAGGGCCCATTTTGAGGTGAAGAACTTGGAGATGAAGTAGAAGCTGGCGAACAGGTAGATGAAGATGACTAGCTGGATGCAGCTCTGGAAATAATAGTTGGATCTCTCTCACTCTCTCTCTCTCTCTCTCTCTCTCTCTCTCTCTCTCTCTCTCTCTCTCACGCTCACGCTATTCTCACTCACCTGCATGAAAAACCTGATCTCCATCTTTCGTCGTCGTGCAGAGGATTCAGCTGTAGCTCCGTCATTGATTTGCTAGATCTCAAAATTCAGTTTTTCTGGATTTTTATACCTTTAATCCAAACTTTAACGACAATAACGTAAAAATATCGATAATAGTAATTAAGCTGAAAACACCCATCCCGACGTAGCAGTCCAGAATTGTCCCTGGAAGGTATTTTTGGTATTTTTTGGTTATTTTTACGTTAGGTTCCTTCCTTTGCTTAGGCCTAAGCCTAAGCCTGAGCCTGAGCCTGAGATTAACCCTACGCCTAAGCCCATTCTCAAGGATCGCTCTGATCTTCAAAGAGCAAATCCTATTTTTTTACTGCAAAAATAATGTAAACGAACCAATGAAATATCCGCACTCATTATCGGCATAGTCCCACGTGTAGCTTTCCGGGGTGTAGACAATCCAACAACGGTCGCCTGGAAGTAGAAAAATAACAATTTGATTTTACGGCCAAAAAATTGGCTTTCCGAGCACAGGTTACAATGTGGGGATTTGTGATTACGGTTTGGCCCGTTTTGCCCCAATTGAAAATTGACTTTTTAACTGAAAAAATCAAGAAATTTTGAATGGGAAATAAAGAAGCTAGAGGCTTAAAAAATGGATTAGCCTGAAAAAGTCGCAAAATATGACTCACGATAGAAATAAGGTATATTCAAGGCGGCAGCAATGCTCCATGAGATTACCACAATAAATCGACTATTCTTCGGTGTAAACCAGCGATGGCTCTTCGTTGGGTATGCTGAAATTATTGATTTTTGTTTGTCAAAATTTTAAGGTATTGGATGGCTATGGAGAAAAAAATCCTACCAATCGTAACCGCTCGATTGATTGAGACCACCAAATGGGAATATACACAATTGTCCCAAAACAGCGTGTTGATCTGGCCCATCAGTTTGCCCCAGAAGCCGAGCGAGGTTTGATCATCACGGCTAAAGCGCAAAATTTTGAAAACCCCGATAGTGAATTAGCAAAATTAGTGATTAGCTTTCCTTGAATAAACCTGCTGTTACAGGTTACAAATGAAAAATTCAGGTTAGGTACTGCCTTGTAAAACACTTACAACCACGTCATCGGCACACACCAAAATAGGAAAATCAGTAGCAGACCAGAATTTGCAAGATATTGTGAAAAACAGATCATCCCAAAGCAATTCTGGAGGTCCGGCGCTCTTCTCGTGATCCACATTGAGCACCAATTTGCGTACAGGCCAAAGATGCTGATCTGAAAGTTTTGACGTTATTTTAGATGTCTAAATTCCACTCAAATTTTAATTTTCAGGCTTTATAATTTGACAAAGGGATTTGATTTAGCTATCGTAGCAGTATTTCTATGAAAGTGATTTTAAGATGTTTAAAAGCAGTTTATACAGATTTTTAAAAATCAAGGAAAGGTTCTGGAAATGATACCTACCGTAGCCAAGATCAACGATACCAGATGCGCCGTTCGCACCACCAAAATTTCTTCGGTCTCCACCAGCTCGGCAAAATTCGAGGGAGTGATGGTGGCGAAAGTTTCCACCGTCATTTTTCTGCAAAATCCAAGTTCAACCAAAAAATATATTTTTTATAAATATCGAAAAACGTGCAAATGACGAAAATGCTAAAATTTGTACATGTTGTCATCTGTTTCGTTAAATTTCTCAAGAAACGTAAGGCTAGCTTCAGTGGCGTGTAAATAATTCTTAAATTAGCCCCGCCGCTAAACATGGAGCTTTGCATTGGTGGGAATCCGATTTCGGGTCCGGGCACTCCGGAGAAAGGGGTGGAAGGTGTTGTACCTCGGCGCATTAATTTGGTACACGGGGTTTGCCGCTTTTCAGGGTATGATCTGCTAATTGACAACACAGGCGGCCGAGTGGTAGTAATATGTTAATTAGGAACAAAAATGATCAGAAATTTTCATGTTTTTCATATATAAAGTGTGGCTGAAAAAGATCACACTAAAATGAAGGAAAGGCACCAAAAACCAGTATTCTGAAATTTTAAAGGCACTTCAAAGCCAAAATCGTCGTGTTTGGAAACCTGTTCCTTTTTGAAAACAACATGTTTTGATTAAGGAGCAACGTTGGGAGCTGCGCACTAAGAAAATGTCCATAGCCTTGTCTTCTCAGGCCCTTTAAACGCGATACAAATTATTGCTCAGCGTTCTAACCTAAATGTTTAAACAAGAATGCACGTTCTTTGTTGTGCCGCGTAGCTGTCGACACCCCAAGCACATAAGGGTGGGTTCCGGTACTTCTAAACGCCTTTAAAGGACCACTACGGACCGAAATCGTCGTGTTTTGGAAAAGGAACGGCCCAGCGTCAGCTTTTTACTTATATAGCGGCAGCAGACAATCGAATTTGACGGCCCACGATTGAGCACCGTACCGTCAACAAAAATAACCAAATTTGGGCGGGCGGGGGTTCCGGCGATTTCTGCGCCGATTTTCAAAGAATCCGATACGATACGCGGTACAGCGAGCGTAACTTGCGAATTTCCGGAAAGGATAGGCTTGGGGGTATGTGTATTGATGCTATCGGAAGCTGTCCGACTCCACGAGTTTCGAATCAGAAGTAGCCGCAAACGAAAACGGGTAAAATTCGTAGTAGTTCGTAGTGATTTTTTAATACAATGAGGATTGTACGGTGGTTTGTAGTGGAAAAGTGCAAAAATTCTCTCTAGGGGTGACTGGTTTTGGCGGGACAGATCTGGATAACAGCCTAAGAGGAAGGTTACGGTACTTGAGAATCGGTAGTATTACATTTTTTAAAAAAAAGAAGAAACGCCGGGAAAAAAAAGGGGGGGGTATTTTTTTGGGGATAAAAAAGAAAAAAAAAAACCTTTCCTCCCCCCCCCCCCCTTTCTCTCTCTCTCTCTCTCTCTTTCTCTCTCTTCCTCTCTCTCGTCCTTCTAACCATCTGGAATAGAAAAAGCGCAGAGAAGATTAGCGCAAACAAAAAACTTTTTGAAAGATAAAAGTTTTGAGAAATTTCTGCGCTGAATTTGATTCCTTGTATTCTGTTTTTCTGCGGTTTTGGTGTGCTGTCAAAATTTAGATAAAAGATATAGTAGATTACAAAGAACTTCAGGAATGACGACGTCCTCAAAAATCAGTCCCAATTCAGCAGCCTGATTGGTTAATTTCCGAGTGGTATTTCCATTCGAGTCAGGCTCAGTTTTGTCAAAACATCTCTCGTCTTCTTGTGCAAATGTGAAAAACTCCGGTGTACTGTACAATATCAGAACATTATTTATTACTTTCGTACAGTAAAGTAATAGAATTCTGGGAGTAGAAAAAAGAGAGAGGAAAATAAAAAGTTTGGGCTTTGGCTTTTCAGGGATTTTTCGAGGTTGTGGGTAAGTTCAAGGTAAAAGGGACTAGATAAAATAAATCGTATAAAACATAGGAAATAAATAAACAACAAATTCTACTGTAAAAAAGGCCGAAACACCAAATTACATCAATTTACACGTTTTCGGGATAAACTTCAGATAACCCCAGTTCGCAATATAAAGGTAAGTAACTCGGAAGAGCTTAGGCTTAGGATAAAACTTAGGTTTAGGCTTAGGTTTAGGCTTAGGCATAGGCTTCGGCTTACGATGAGGCTTAGGATCAGGATCAAGATAGCACAAAGTACAAACTACAACCAAATGACGTAGCGTCGTGAATGAAAATCATGGAAAACAAACAGAAATAAAATCCGAGGACCAGTAATTTTATCAGATTAGACCACAATGAGAGGAAAGGACAGCAAAAAATATTCCGAGTGCAGCAGAGCATGGCAGCAAACCAAAAAAAGAGGGGAATCGAACACCAAACACCAATGGGGACACGATCGAGAGAACACACGCGCAAAAAATCACAATTAAGTTACGGCAGGGGCCAAGGTACGGGTGAATGGTAGCTTAGGGCAGGTTGAGGGATTCATCATTTTCGAGAACACGGTATGGTATGATTGTGATTTTTGAGGATACGGTACGTCAGGTCAGGTACTTTATAAATTAAAGTAGAGATAAAATAGTGATTTTTGAAATTACGGTAGCGAAAAAATTTTTCCGGATTTTTAGAGATATCTGCCAAATTTTTACGCGCGACAATGACATCGAAAATGATCTACCGTATCCGCCTACGCAATCAATTTCCACCGCTCAACCTGCCCAAAACCCGACTTCCATCTAAGACTTTCCGGCGATCGTCAACCGGACCACTTCACAGTAGCCGGATGTTCGAACGGGAGGGCCAAAGAAGTCGACGCCGGCCGAGACGAGGATATGGGTATTGGTGGGCACATTCCAGTACAGCCCGTGGGTCCACGCGTTGGCAAGGTGGACGAACGGGACGAAGAAGATGAACTGGCCGTTGTGGGTGTGACCTGAAAAGACAGGGTCTGAGAGGGAGCGAATAATAGAATGAGAGAGGGAGAGAGGCGGTGGATGAAAAAATTTTTCAAAAATTTTCCGATTTATTTATAACCATTTTATGCCTAAAAAGATTTTTCTTATTTTGCATCTATCACTTTCCGGGGGGTGACCCATAATTTCCATCGAATCCCGACCCCGGGGCCCGAAAATTTCATAAGGGGGGACCCTTATGATTTTCATTTTCTCAAAAATTTTGCTGCTGCGGCTATTTTTTCACGTTTTACGGCTATTTGGAGCTATGTAACATCTTTTCCAAAAATTTTTGCCTGCGGCGCTGTTTTCTCGTTCATCTTTTGAGTTTTTTGGAAAATTTTTTTGGGGGCCCCCCCGAAATTTTTTCCTGGCTACGCCCCTGTTTGTGCCCCACCGATTTCACCACAAAAATAGCCAGAAAAGTAAGCGTGGCAAGGATCAAAGAACGGAATTGAGAGACAAAAAAGAGAGAGAGATAGCGAGCGAGAGAGAGAGAGAGAGAGAGAGAGAGAGAGAGAGACAGACAGCTCACCAGATAGCACGACGTCAACATTTCCATTTGTCGCCGGGTCCGACAATACATATCGGGCCGCATTTGGCTGATGGGCAAGCAAAACGACTAGATCGGATTTCTGGCAACCCGCCAACGCTTTTCGGGGGTTCATCTGATGGCCGTGCATGCTGAAAATTGGGTTTTAAAGGGCCATTGGAGGCATATTTCTATGGATTTGCTAAAAAGTGAGAGAAATTATATCCTGGCTTGGCAAGGCTGTTAAAGCTTTAATTTTCGACCTTGCAGCATTTTTCTTAAGGGTTGGGGCTCGCGAAAGTTAAGAAAGCGGTGTTTGAAGCATATCAAAATCGAAAAAACGCTTACTGTAGCTTCAGCGTGATCAAATCATCGATGCCGGCCATGCACACCGATTCGCCTTTCCCAGTCGTCAACCGGAAGTTCTCGTTATGCAGCACCGTGATGTTGCAGCCGCGCAAGAATGTGAACCATTCCTCGACGTTTCCGTGGTAGTACTCGTGGTTTCCTAAAATTCACTTATTTTCATTACATTCCTATTAGATTTTAATAATTATTTCCTAAATTTTTCAGTATATTCTTCTATTGTCTATTTTCTCCTCTTCTCCTAATTTTTACACACGCTGCTTGGATTATTGTGTGCTTTAAAAAAGGTACAATTCAAACAGGCGGGGGAAAGATTTAGGCGGGGGGAAACCAACTTTTTTTTTGTCGGCCCTGGTGGGGATAGTAACCAAATATAAAGTGTTTTCACATTGTTTTTAGTAAAATTTAAGCCTATCTGAATCGGAAAAACTTTTTAAAAAGTTAGAAAAACGCTTGAAAAAGTCGAAAATTTGGTCATTTTTGGGCCGAAAAAATTGATTTTTCGACCTAAAATTAAAATTTGTAATTAAGTTTTGTAAAGTTTTTATGTTTAGGAATAGCTATAAACAATTTAGAAACACTTCCACTATTTATATAAAAAATATAGGCTTGGGCGGCAAAAGTTCGGTTTCCCCCCCGCCTAAATCTTTCCCCCCGCCTATTTGAATTGTACCTTAAAAAATATCATAATCTTGTTTTCCCTAGCATTGGCCAAAAAGGCACTCCGAACCACTATTGTTTGATTGACACCCGACACCTGGGCTGCAGGAGGCTCCGCCCACCCCCTTATCTGGGCCCC